TGCAGATGTTGGATGCTGCAGGTGTTGGATGCTGCAGATGTTGGATGATGCAGATGTTGGATGCTGCAGATGTTGGATGCTGTCTATCATGGTGCACTAAGATTCATAACTGGCTGTGATTATCGTACCCACCACTGCACCCAGTATTCACTGGTTAACTGGTCACCATTAACTTCACACAGACTCTCCCACTGGTACATCTTCATCTATAAATCACTTCCTGGTCTGCTGCCTTCATACATCTCCTCCTACATGTCTCTGTGTGAGTGCAGCTACAGCGTGCGCTCTCAGGACATCATTACCTGCAGTGTTCCCTCAGTGAGGACTGAACTGGACAAAAGGACCTTCTCCTACTTCGCTCCTGTTTCCTGGAATATCTTGTAAAAAGATCTGAAGCTCTCGACCTTTGACCTCTCTAAGTGGCTTCAAACATCTGGTAAGTTCCTGTTTTTAGTAATTCAATTCAGTTTATTTATATAGCGTCACTTTATAATAAAGTTGTCTCAGAGCCCTTAACAGAAATATGAAGTACAGAAATGTAGTATTCTACATGGCTTCACAATGTAGCTGTTGTTTTGTTTAGTCTTTTTATAATTGCTCCTGTTTACTTTTCATTTTAAATGCTTTTCATATGATTGTCTGTTGTTGGCTGCACCTCATCTGTGTTCTTTTTTTAATCAGGTCCCTCTTGTAACTGCGTCCTCTTGGCTCAATGAGACTAACCTGTAGAAATAAAGGCTGAATGAAAAATGGATTCAATCAGAACTAAACTCACCCTGATGAAGAATTTGCTCTTGGTCCTCCTCATCACCATCACCCTCCTCCTCTCCCTGCTCCCCATTGCCATCTGAGAACTCTTCCACTTCACCATCTTCTTCCTCCTCATCTTCTTGCTCTACCTCCCCCTGGTCCTCAATGGCTTTGTTCTGGTATCTGGTGTAGGGTCCAGTTGTTGTAGGTTCCTCCTTCACCTCTTTGGCCAGGCAGGAGGTGATGAAGGACGTCCTCTTAGCTGGTGGTTCCAGGGCATGTTTGTCCAGAGTTTTCCTCTTCTTGGCCAGCGGACAGCCATAGACACTGAGGAGGAACAGAATAAACATCCTGATGCATGCTCAATAATCCACGTAGAAAAAGCTAAAAAAGTTAAGTCTGGTCCTCTGGACAGGTTCAAAAACAAAATATTGTAGAAACGTTTCGTCTCTCATCCTGAGGACTTCCTCATTCTGAGGTGCTGTATTCAGCTCAGTCTCTTAAATAGCACCTTCTCAG